AAAATATTTACCAACCGTGCGCCCAAGAGCGCCTGGTTGTGTGAGAATGCTTCAGAACTGAGAGTTGGACATCGTGGACTTGACAGATGCATATCGTGCCACATGTTCTAGTGATCTTTGATTACTTTTTTGGAGGAAAGTCAGTCTGGAAAGGATCCCCCCATTAAAAATAGTAGATAACTAGCTCCAATGCAACTATAGTTTATTAAAGTATGTATATCAGGGTTTTAACAAAATGCTCTTTATGTGAAGTTGTATTCCATGAACATATAAGGTTTATGTTTTCAGCTTTTCATTTAATTGGGAAAAGAGGGTAAACTAATTTATTTATTTATTTAACCCTAGAGAATGTTTCCGTCGTGTCGAACAACTGCGTGACCGCCAGGAAATAATGAAGGATAAATTAAAGGAAACTATGAGTCAAAGAGTCACACAGACTAAAGAAGATGATATTGGTAGTGATGATGAAGGTGAATTACAGGACTTGCTCTCTCAGGACTGGAGAGCAAAAGGAACGATATTGTAGCTGCCTGAGAAGAGAGAATTAATTTTTTAATTATGACATTGTTCTTTTATCATGTACTAGCATTTTGCATATGTATGTATGTATGTATATGAAGTCCTGTAGGTGTTAAAATCTTCTGTTGTACATTATATAATCTTTTTATAAAAATAATTGTAGCTCTTCTGGAAACAAACAGACCTTTTATTTGAGCCAGTGTGTGCCAGCAGTAGCTTTTTAATATGCATTAAAATGTGCTTTCTTTGAAGATAGGTTAGCATAAAAGCAAGCACTTTCCAATTGGAACTGTTTTGTAGTTTTAAACAGAAACTCAATTGTTTTTATTTCCTGCACCTAACATATGCCATAGTTGTGACCTCCATACTATATTGGAAACTTATATTAAGTGTTCCTGAGATTCAGAAATAATGTGCTATTAACTAGGGACATCTGTTGACTAAAAATATAAGTCTAAATCCACTGGCTCACAGAAATCAGAGTTTTCAAACTCACTGAAGTTTCCTAGTCTTGCATTTTTGTAGCCTTACATTTATTAATTGCTCATTGATGCAGGCATTCATTAGCAAATTTAGGTGGATGCTTACTAATGTATAATCCTGGGAAAGGATGCCCCACTAAGTAAACAGCATGAGTTTTCCAATTGAATGTGTTCCTTTCACAGAAGGAAGAATTTTGCTTCTTTCCTCCTGCATTCAGCCATGAGCACACTTCCTAAAGAATATTGAATGATGCTCAATAGGAAAGGAGGAGACTTAGAGCTCTTTATAAACATCTCTAAATTGATCCAAATACTAGGAATGAAGTTTCTGGGCTAAGCTGGATTAAACTGGCAGTAAATGAATGGTTAAGACAACCAAGGACAATATTTGAAAATATGGATTGTCATCCAAAGACATGTTGGCTGTTGGAAAATGTTGATGGTTTTTCTTTGAACAGCAAGTTCCCATGCTATACTTAGTGGAGTTTGATGTTTCCTCAGCTTCAGAGACAATTTGATAATGTGGCCCTGTAGCCTAAAATGTCTAAATCCCCCTTGCTTCATTTAACTGCCATATACAGTGGGGCAAAAAAGTATTTAGTCAGCCACCAATTGTGCAAGTTCTCCCA